AAATAAAATACAAAATAAAATCGTATTCAGACATAAGACCTGTGTTTTATAAAACTGGTAAAAAAAAATTTGTCTTATTATGACCAGAGAGCAACGTAATCATATAATTTCTTATCAAAAATGTGCCCTTACTAAGTGATACTTGATATCACTCTTGTACTTGGAGAATTAGATGCTCACTATTTTTGTCTTAATTTGGGGCATATTTTATGATACACTTCACTCTACAATATAGGAAAACAAAGTAACTTGTTTTGGGAACTAAGCAATTTAAATATAAAAACTGCTCTCCAGATTTTGTCTCTGCCTTACTGCCCATCCAAGATTCCAAGATTCATTTTCCTTGCAAGTAAAATGGAAACGGTACCAATCATTATGTTCTTGCAATAGTCAAGTAACTTAAGTATACTATTTAGCAAGTTGCTTAAATGATTCCTTCCATTTATTCTTTGAGAGGTGCAAGTGTCCTGTCTGATCCAGTTGTTGACCCGAGATAACTAAGCAGGTAGCAGGTAGCTAGCCACAGCCACAAAAGCAGTCAAAATATACTGGGAGACAATATCTTTGATACCTCGGTCAGTTTCGTATTTTCAAACCTCACCAGGGCTGGACTCTGAAGAACTTTTGATCAGTGCTAAAAACAAAAGTAGGGGAAGAGGCACCCCTGGACTTTGCTTTATCCTTGCATCTTACCTTCAGTTCTCTAGACTTTATCACTAACTTGATAACTAAGGAAATAAGCACAGAGGAGCAGAAAGCAAAGCAAAGGTGCAAAAATGTCCACAAATAAATTCACTTAGAGGATGAAATAAGAGCCAAGAGGAGAGAATCTGTTCCATCTGAGGCTAAATATTAAAGGAAAGCACAGGCTTCCCTTTGCATGGGAGCATAGGAAATACTATGTTCTTGAATCTGACTGCCTGTGGAAGTGAAGAGGGGAGTATTTAGCTCTCCCACAGGGGTACAGAACCTATGGCTTTTCAGCTATCTGCCTGTTTGTACTCCTATCTGAATGTTCTGCAGCCCACCAATCTTCCATGCCCAAAAGTAACTTGCTATCTCGTTTTGCAAAGCCTACTTTCTTCGCTCTTCCTCAACTCATCCACCAAAGAGCCAGTTGGGTCCTCTAGGCCACTTCTGGATCTCTTATTCTCCAACCAACTGCAATATTCTTTTAATCTCCAAGTTTTTTTTTTTTTTTTTTTTTTTTTTTTTTTTTTTTACGAGATGTTGCGGCGTGACTGGAGTTCAGACGTGTTTTTTTCGGAACTGGGGATTGAACTCAGGCCCTTGTGCTTGCCAGGCAAGCACTTATTCTACTGAGCCATCTCCCCGGCCCCCTAATCTCCAAGATTCAGTGATATCATTTTATGTGTTATCTTATGAAAGAGATCTGAATGGACAAAAGTGAAAATAATGTAACAGGTTGAACTGTGCTATGGCCATCGGTTTCTCTCTCTTCCCCCAGATCATTAGCTGTTAACAACAGTACTTCTGAAGCATGCGTAGCCTGTTTCTTTCTTCTTGCCTCTGCTTTAGCTAATTCTCCAAGTCTTATCGTGTTCCACCAGATCTATCTGGATCTTAGCTAGTTTTGCTCATCCTTTTAAAATTATTTTGAAACTCAGATCCAATCATGTTTTTATTAGATAGAATCTATTGATAGCCATTCTTGACCCCACTAACACTATTTCCAGATTTTTACCATGTACTTTTCTCAGTTTTAACAATACCTACATGCATAGACTTTTGTCTAGCACCTGTACTCCATGGCCAGTGTTTAACAGTAGAATTTTCCTCTACATTATGCTGCTCCTATAGGCCTCTAGATATTTGAAGAAACTCTCTTCTGCACCTGAATGTGTTGTCAGGGTAACTTTTCTTTGCCTGAGTTCTTCATTTCAGTGCAATGCCAGGCTCAACCATCTCTGAAATTATCATTGTACTGAAAATGACCCCATAAAGAGTTTCCTCTGCACTAATAAATATCTCTTTTATTTGCTGTATGCACTGCACTGTACTAATTGCAGTCTTCATATGTCTTTTCCAACTGTCATGGATCCCATTAAATTCGGAGCTATGTACGTTCCTTTGTGTCTTTGTTCTTGTTCTTCTTGTACTCAGCATGCTGGGGGTGACCAGCAAGAAGTGCAGATGACAAAATGCCAAATATTTCTCCCTATTAACAATTTTCAGTAACATTTTAAAACTTCTCTCAGTGTTCACTGTATTACACTGTGGCTTCAAGCCATAGCTTAGTCTAAATATATTCGATAATCACACAAGAAATATTAAGCATTGAGTTACACGGAATGACTAGTTTGACTGGTTAGTTGATTTGAACATGAGCAAAAAGAACACAAAAGAAGTAGATTTTTATTTTTCCAAATTATATCTATGTAAAGGAATTTTCTCCTTCAAGATTAATTATTATGAAGCTGGACACTGCCAAGTTTAAGGTTGCCAAGTTTAAATAATTCATATTTATATATTACTTACTTCCTCAAAATAATTTCTTGCCTATCTCTCTACTGTCCTGAGGGAAGAGAGGAAGTTACTTTTAGGTAAGTGGTATGTTACTGAACAAGATTTATGGATAACCATTAGGGAATAGTAGGACCATATTGGATATCCAGTCCAGGAGATAGAAAGATAAAGACTTTTTTATATATTTCCAGATTCTTGATAAGCAAGCTAAGAGCCCAGAGCCCAAAACTGTACAGGAGGGAGACACACAAACACCAATGTCAAATTTTACCTGCCTTTTAATAGCTTACCCTAGACTAGTAAAACTGTGTGGGAATTGCATAGCATATTGGTATGTTAATTTATTTTTAGAAACATAATCAGTTAGTGCAAAGTGTTTCATTTTCTTGGATTTTGACCAATACCTCAAACCTAGTGAGTCCTTTTCCTCTGCATTTTTGCATACAATTTTTGCAGCTATATTGCACAAGGGATATAGTCCTCATCGTTTTCTGTATTACCAATAACTGATGTGAGAGTATAATTTCTTTCAAAGTTTAATATGAACTTCTCCCGGTATGCTGTGAAGGGAGTCAAATTCGGAGATATAAATGAAAACTTTTATTTTAATAAAAACTCAATTATACGCTGCTCCGCTAACTTGCCTTTAGAATGTGAACTCTGACAGGAGGGCAGAGATCCTGACTTTTTGATTAATTTTTACCTACTTTCCATTATAGACATTCACATGTGGGAACTGAGAAAGTCCATAAATATCTGGGGAACTAAATAACGGAATCAAACCCTATGCGGGTAAAATATTCTTCTTTAGGCTTGAGTTAGGTGGCAGCTTTTGTTCAATTTATGAGCTACTCAGTTAATTTTAATGACTGGTTTATTTTCTGATACATATTTTTTCTTAATCCTTAATATATGCATCCACATATTATTCAAGTAATAACCTTCGGTGTTTTGTATGAACTCATTTACGCTTTATCTCATCTTACCAACTTTATTCGAAGAACTTTCCAAACCTGAGCTGTTTTACAGTGATGCCTTCACGTTATCTCTTCATGTGCCCCAGTTAAGCTTTCTGTACTTTTGAGAAAAGCCACAGTCACCCTCAGGACTGTAATTTTGCCCAAGATTTTTACCTTTTCTTTCCTTCTCACCTTTTCTTGACTATATTTTAGCCCTATCATAACATTTAAAGTCCTAGGGCTGCAATAACAACTTAGTACAACTTGATGGCATAAAACAATGGTCCTTTAATCTCTCACAGCTGTGGAAGCTAGAAGTCCAGAATCAAGGGGCTGATGGGGCTGTGCTGCCTTTTGAGGACCTAAGGAGCGAATCTTCCTCACCGTTTCCTGGCCTTGTAGTGACTAGGAGTTTTTCTTCACATTCCTCAGCTTGCAGTCACGCTCTTTCTCTGAAGCAGAGTCTCAGCCTCTTCCTTCACATAGCCTTGAACTTTGTCTCTGTCTCCAAATTATATAGGAGCCCCAACCCCCTTGGATTAGGGCTCAGCCTAATGCAGTATGGCCCCACTTTAGTTTGATCGTATCTGCAGGTTCCTATTTCCAAACAAGGTCACTATGGCAAACTCTTAATGGAATAGGACTTGAAGCTATCTTTTTGAGGAACGTGATTCAACTCCAAGAGGGTCTCATGTTGACTCAAAGGATTCTTGATCTCCAGCCCATTATAATCACATAGGAGAATATATTTTCTAATTCAGGTATTTGAAAAAAATACAAATATGCTTCCTGATTTTTAGAAAGGATTTTTGAACCTATAAATTTTCTAGTAAGCTATAAGACTATAAGGATAATGATCATGATATAATTTAATTTGTGGTGAATGTGGTTGTGTGTGTGTGTGTGTGTGTGCATATACATAGGTATGTACAAAAAGAATAATGCAAATAATAGTAGTGAATAGATACATTTAAGAATAAGTGCTTGCCTGGCAAGTTCAAGGTTCTCAGTTCAATCCCTGGTACCATAAAAAAAAAAAAAAGAATAAAGAGTACAGAATCAAAAATGCAACATTTTCCTAAGGAAAAAAAAAGATGACCATAATTAAAACATGATAAAAGTATGTAAATTTGTCATCTCTGACTTTTTCATCTTTACTTATATTGTACTTTTTTTGTGGTACTGGGGATTGAACTCAGGACCCTGCATTTGCCAGGCAAGCATTTATTCTACTGAACTATCTCTCCAGGCCTTGTACTTTCAAATGTTTATGAAGTATTATAAATTCACCATTGATCATGGATTTATTGAAATTTGTAAAATGAAGTTGAAAACATTTACTGATTTTTAGTTAAAAGATTTTATTTTCTTTGCAATTCTAAAGAAAATGTCACATTATAAATCATGAATTTAAAGTGCATTCTTTAGGATTTTCTTTGAAATGAATGTTGTATCACCTTCAGCTACTTAACAGTTCAAGATTCTCAAATACTGAAGGATATAAGAAATTCATAGCAATTGTATGAAATACTTTTTAAATTGGTATGTTCACAGATGACAATGAGTGTGGAAATTTAACCCAGTCCTGTGGTGAAAATGCCAACTGCACAAATACAGTGGGAAGTTATTTTTGCATGTGTGCTCCAGGGTTTAGATCCAGCAGTAACCAAGATAAGTTTATTACTAATGATGGAACCTTCTGCATAGGTGAGTTCAATTATGTAACTTAAAATTTGTACCTGTATATTATTGCTTATTTCCTCTGGAGATTCAGTAATACTTGAATCAATTTCTACCACACCTTGTTTAAGGCCTAGCTGTTAAATACTCTCAGATGCTTCACTGATTCTTTAATCTTTATCATGTTATATTGTTGCTAAAAATGGAACATTTATCAAGCATATTAGAAAGAGTTATAAAGTATTTCATCATGTTCTATAGAAACAAAGCTTTAAAAGTAAATCGTAAATCACCTTTAATCTCAGAGTGACTCAATTTACCAACAACTTGCAAAGTTAATCATGACTGATAATATTAAAAAATGCATTAACAAAAAAAAATTCATTAACAGCGTCCTGAGAATTTAAACACATAGAAAACTCAGTGGATTAAAGTGTCTGCAAGCAGGCACAGGGGCAGGGAGTTTGATCCCCAAGGCCTACCAGCCTTGTCCCTGGGGTGTGCTGAGATGGCAATTGTGACTGGGCATGGTGGTGTGCATCTGTAATTCCAGATCTTGGGAGGCTGTACACAGGCGGATCATTAAGAGTCCGATCTAGTAGTGAGCCCCTGAACACCCTGTAGACCCTTCCTTAAAAAATAAAAAAAATAAAACTACATAGTCAAGCACAGTGCCCTAGTTGTAGTCTGCATAGATAGATTAAAGAGTGGTATTTAACTTACTGTAGACCACACTGAAGACTTTGATTGTTTCTCTGGTGGAATTTTCTTTGGTTAGATAAGAAGTTTCATAATATTAAAACATGATAAGTAGACAGTGTTCAAAGGAAATTTATCAGTGAAATATCTGTGTCAAAGAAATCAGAAACCTCTGTTTCATATTTATCTGCCATGCAAACAGAAATTCTATTTTCCTCCTTTCGCAGTCAGGCAAAGTACTCGAGGTTTACACACTTGAGATAAAAGGCGGACTAGAATCACAGTCATATCTAGAAACCCATAGTTACTGTCACAAGAAACTTAAATAGGTTAAAGTATTTAAATTGCTGCTGAATCATTCAATGCAATAGATCAAGTTTTCAGGAGTATACATGATTTACAGTGTAAGATAACATTGCTATTATTATTGAACAATAATTTTATCTTTACTGCGTGCAAAAATGTATCGGAATACAGCATTATGATGTATTAGGGTCCTGAAATCAATGACATTCTGCCCAGAAAATTTATGGCACCTTTGTAGTTGTTTTTCTCAAATCTATGTTCTTTTGCTAATCTACTTAATATGTCAGATAATGCATTTTGGCTTTAGCAAAGTTATCAGGTTCCTTGTTAGTGAAGAAGTCTAACTTGTAAGATATTAAACATTGTAATTTAAAAAGACATCATCTTCTCCATTTCCTAATACCTCTTGTCCCCAGAATATATCTGCATTATGTTTACTCATAGTGTCCCTGAATTCATAAAAGACTTTGTTTCCCTCTTCATATTCCTTACACATACAGACCGCTTACTCTACAAGAAACTGAATTACAAACACCAAAGAAAATCTGCATACTCAAAGATGATTGGACAAGAGCATTATAAGGGAGTGTACTATCTGTGATTTCATACTCCTCCCAGTACTTCTTTTACTGTGACACTTTGAGATGGTTTTAAGTTTTTCCCTGTCCCTTTTTAGCTACATTAATTAATTGATAAACACAATAACTAAATCAAAGCATAATACCTGGGACTGAGTCCCTCTGTTTCTACCTTTACTCATTTTTTCTGATGATTTATTCAGTGAAAAACTCATTATCTGGAAAATGTTATTTCTCACTAATTTTGCTTGTCCTTAAGAATTAAGCTTTTTGAGAGACTGTACGGCTATTTCTCTTTTTTGTCCTGTCCTGTAATAATTTTTATTGTGCACTATAATGATGCTCAGGGAATTTGAAAAGAGAACCAGAAATGTATTTCCTTTTTCCATTAGTATATCACCCTGTTGTGAATTGCTTCTGATTTGAAATTTTAGTGGATCCTTAAATATGGCATGGCTGGTAATTGCAGTCATTATAACCTCAATAAATAGACAATGGAAAATTCCAATTAGAGACAACATATGGCCAAAACAGAATGTTTTACCTATAATTCATATTCAATTGTTGTTTTCCACAAATAAGTTCACAGCTACAGAGGTTTTGGGTGAATTTTAGCATTGTGCCATTTTTCCTCGCCCCAGGATCCCCGTAAAACAAAATGTCAGGTGATCAGTGCCGGAGCGTCCTAGGTCCCAGCCAGAATTCCACAAGTGTGGAAACTGATGCATCAATCGTGCTTCTCCAAGCCAAAGGAGCAGAATGCTGGAATGTTTTTCCTTTACTATGTGCTTTAAGCAGCGTCTTTAAATTTTATGGCCTACTTCACTTGGATACATTATCCTAGGCACCAATCTAAACATTTTCAAGTATATTTTCTCTTTCCTTATTTCTTGTAAGATAGAACTCTTCTCAGTGAGGAGTGTTAAAGGTACAACCCAAGGTCACAGAACTAGTAAATGTGGGAGCTGGGGTCTAAAGAAATTCCTTACACCTAGCCAGGCTGGTTTCATCCTGTTCTGAAGGGGGATGCTTTTTCAATGTTGTATGGCTTTTGTCTGTATTACTATGTTGAAGGAAGAACATAGAGTATTGTGCTGAATCAAGAAAGCTCTTTTATCTACTCAGAGGTTCAACCAGTTTTGGTAGTTACCTCAGCATAAGTGCATTAATTGCATAACCAGAAGGTCCACTGTGACAATATTAAATTAATTAAACCTCATTTCCACATTTCAGTAAAGGGTTATGGAAACAGAAGTACAAACCAACTAGAAGTTGATGAGATAATTGTTGTTCTTTCATAAAATTTGGAGTCTGACTATAATAATTCACATGACTTTAATCTTGAAGGCTGGTATCCCGGGAAATGATGGTTATTCCTACTTGGTACATTCAGACACTGAAATAGCATTCTTGTTCCAAGCTTCTGAGATAGCCACAGGCTAAGTAGTGGTGGAAGGACTTGAATTTACTTCCCAACAAAAATCCCCAAAGGGGATGGAGAAATCGTAGATAAAAGCTGAAATGAAGTCAGCTAAGAGCACTAAAATTGCACGTATTTTAACCCAAAGTGCAAAAGGATGGATGGAAATTGCGTTTGTAGAGCCAAGATTTTTATGTTGCTGAGATTGGATTTGAGATGAAGTTCCCAATATTATCGCACAATTAAATGGTTTGGAAACTGACAGAAATCAACAACTCATTTCTGGATGTATATAATGCATTTAAAACTACAAAACATGCATATGCAAAAGATATATTGTCACGCTCATGAAATAGGTTTTGTTATTACAGTTCCTGGGCCTGTTCACAGTTTCTTTGGGGTATTTTTTCATTTGAGTTCAGCATGTGTTACTTCAACAGCGCTGCTCCAAAAAACATTCATCTTGGCTTTAGTCCCATAATTTTGTCTCACTTCATAAAAAATAATAACCCTCATCTGCACCAGCACCTGGATTCTTTTGGTCTTTAGCCCAGCCCACAATGCTTTTCTTGACAATTCTCCATATCTCTGTTGGTCTCCTACATTCATTTTTGTCCATTTCTTTTTGTGGACTGATAATTTCTGAACAACAGAAATGAGGTTAAGGATGCTACACCAGCATTATTTCTCTAGATGCAGTTCCTTGGGTTTCTGGATAGTAAGAATTATGAATACATAAACTTGTCAGAAGAAAAGGAGTTTTCTAGCCTTTTTGAATTCTAACTCTTTTATTACTCCTTTTTATAAACTTATAAAACATTACCATCCCATCACATTATTTTGAAATCAAATTTAAGCTTAAAATTATAGATGCATTCATCAATCTAATAGAAAATATCTCTGAGATACCAGAGATATATTAGGAACATAAAACACTTTACATTCCAGGTGAGAATCTAGACTGCTTAGTCCTTTGAATTCATTCCTTACCTGGCAGAGAATTGGTATATTACATTGTAGTATACAAAATTTTAAATTAAGAATATAAATGATATGAGTTTAAAAATTGAGCACCTTCACAATAGTTTCAATATATAACTACTGAAAATGTATGATTTAATTCTGTGTAATATATTATTTTATCTATATTTCATCTATGATGACTTTATATTAAGAATTATACTAAAATATAATCTTAAGAATAGTAAGTTGTATATTTTAAGGGAGTTAATTACATATTCTGCTACATATTAGTTCTTGGGTTAATGTACATACAAAAATGAAGCTTTGAAATAGAAGTGAATTGTTCTTTTATACTCCAAATTACTCTAATCTGAATTGCTATAATCAATTTATCTTAAGATGAAATGATAAATAATTTTAAGTTTATTTTTAAAATTGGGTCTTTATTAAATTAGGACTGTTTCATTATAAATGATGGAAATTACTTTAATGACTTTGTTGATTAATTATCCTATTTAGAATGCAATTTGAGAGTTTTGTGCATGAATAATATTTTTATGAATAATATTTTGAATGCGCTTGTCAAATAGATTGACCAATTTAGAGTTAAATATTATATACAGTTGAAAACTACGTTTGCTCTGCCTTTTCCAAAATAATAGTTTTCCTTGCTTTCCTGTGCAGTTTGTTAAGAAATCGCTAATTGCATGTAATACGGGTATCAACAAAGTAGCAATTTATGTGCACCGAATTTCATGACTTCAATTTTCAACAACTATTTCCAGACATAGATGAATGCAGTGAGCCATCTGTCTGTGGTGATCACGCAGTGTGTGAAAACGTGAATGGTGGCTATCACTGCTTCTGCCAACTGGGTTATCAGACATCCACAGGAAAGTCCCGGTTCACACCAAACGATGGTTCTTACTGTCAAGGTAATTTATTTTATTAAATTAAATGTATTACCAAAGACCTATAAAGGTTGGCAATGTGGCTCAGAGGTGGAACTCTTGCTTTGCATGCACAAGGCCTTGTGTTCAATCCCCAGCACCACAAAAGAAGAAAAAAACCTATATATAATATTTGCTATAAAGGCCCTTCCGGATAGCTCAGTGGACTAAAGCAGCTCCTTAGGCAGGCACAAAGACCAGGGTTCGATCCCCAGACTGCCGTGCTGGCCCTTCCCCCAGGGCTCACTGAGATGGCAACTGAGACTGGGTGTGGTGGCGCGCACCTATAATCCCAGCACTTGGGAGGCTGAAAACAGGCGGCTCACTCTGAGTCTGATTTACATAGTGAGACCTTGCAGACCTTGCACTAAAATATAAATAAATAAGTAAATAAATAAGTAAATAAGATATTTGCTATGTAGTGTGAAGTATCAAAGATCTACATTTTTGAAAAATGTACCATCATTTTATTTATGGCTTATCAAAAAATTGAAGAGGATATTTTTTCATGTTCATTGAAGATGTAAACTCTCCAATGACAATGAAAAGGAAACAATTCTCCCAAAATCGTTCCTGGAGTCAAGTATTATACTGACACCAAAACCAGAGAAAGATGCAACTCAAAAAGAAAACTACATGAACTTAGATGCAAAAATCTTCAATAAAATCCTAGTGTATAGAATACAGTAAACCATTAAGAAGATTATAGGGGCCAGCCAAATAGCTCAGTGAATTAAATCACTTGCTTAGGCAGATGCAGTAGCTGGGGTTTGATCCCCTGCCTGCCAGCCCCACCCCTGGGATGCACTGAGGCAGCCATTGAGACTGGACGTGGTGGCACATGCCTGTAATCCCAGCTCTTTGGGAGGCTGAACACAGGTCAGTCACTATTAGTCTGATCTGGATGGTGAGACCCTGGAGACCCTTACTAAAAATATGAAAGAAAAAAAAGATTATATGCCATGACCAGGTAGGATTCATCCCAGGGATGTAAGGATGGTTCAACATACGCAAATCTATAAATGTAATACACTATATCAATAGAGACAAATCCAAAAACTACATGATCATCTCAATGGATGCAGAAAGGCTTTTGACAAAGTCCAACACTCATTCATGCTCAAAGTCCTCTGGAAAATTGGAATAGATGGCCTCTACCTCAATCTGATAAAAGCCATCTATGGAAAATGTAGACAGCATGTTTATGCAGGTAATATTCATTCTCCTGTCTTTAAAACTATGCTTGCCCACTTTCCGTTGCCTGTAAAATTTTACATAGTCTGCAATGAACTGGATACTCAAATGCTAAAGCACCTTTTAGTGTTAAATGGGCTTTTCATATTCAAAAGGGTAAAGTCATTGGGATCAATATGATCAGCTTGGGAAAAGTGATTTTTTTCTAACCCTATATTATCTATGTCTTTTTCTACAGAAAACATAAGCACAAACTGTTATTTAGATAATGCCTGTATCGCTAAAAATGTCAACAAAACTTTAGAAAAAGTAAGTAGAGAGTTGAGTTAAATTTATTTTATTTTGCTATTTTGGTCTTAGTTAAAATGCTTCCATTGTCATATGTCAAAAAGTGTAAAACAAAAGTATAACCAGCAGCTCAATTTCATATATAGCTGAAATTCTTTATATAAAGTAATCTAAATGTTATGCTAGCATCAGAGATAGGATTAATTTGAAAAGCTCCAAAATATCGAAGAAAACTTTTCTTCAAGTGCTTGATGTTATTTCTTACATTATTCGGTATACTGTATGTTTATGTTCAACAAATAAAGAAAGTTGCTGAATGAAAAAGTAAAAATAAACTTGGGCTCCAGACCCATTCCCCTAATCTAAGAAGATGTAGTGGAGCGCAACTAGATTTTGTACTTCAAAGTGTGTACTTCCAAGAGCCAATGAAGTAGGACATTCAAAAAATCATTGCCATGTGATTGAAAGTGTGAATCTCAACAGAAGCAATCAATTGTCATCTAAAGCAAATTTCCATTTGATCGCATAGTAAAGGAATTTCTTTGGTTCATTAAAGTATAATTCAAGTTATTAAGTTATAATTTATTACTTAGATCATCAATATTTATAAGTCCTAAGGTGTTTAAATATTAAGGTAGCTTCATTGGCTAAAATATAATTCTACACTGGAGAATGGGAAGTTATTTTTAAATCTGCTCTTTTTATGAAAATCATCCACTTAAGTAGGATCAATGTTTTTGCTCAAGTAACATTTGTGCTTCCTAAGTTATTTCCCAATGTCTTGAAATAAATTCATCTTTTAGTACTGTATGCTGTGGCCTTAGTCACTGACCTCAGAATAAGTTTAACATATAATCTTTGTTCTTGTAATGCTATAACAGAGCTCAGACTTGCTTCCATTATCCATATTTCTTTCTGTTCAGATTGGACCTATACGAGAACCTGTGATGTTGCTAAAGGAAGTCTATAGGAATTCTGTGACAGATATTTCATTGATGGATATAATCACATATGTAGACATATTAGCTAAATCATCCTCATTACTAGGTTACATGAATAACACTGTCTCAGACAAGGATACACTTTCTAATAAAACTCTTACTGTGAGTAGTTTAACTTTTAATTATATTAATATTTAAATTTTTGCTATAGGATTCCAGTATTTTTAAATGTCATATTTTTTTAAAAATAGGAATTTGTGAAAACTATGAATAATTTTATTCAAAAGGATACATTTAAAATTTGGGACAAATTATCTTCAAGTCACAGGAAAACCCATCTTACAAAACTGATGCATACTGCTGAGCAAGCTACCTTAAGGATTTCCAGCAACTTCCAAAAGACCACTCAGTTTCATACAAATTCATCTGATGTAGGTAAGACCAAAGGTCAACTTCTAAACAGTAATGTTTTCCAAACAAGCCATTTTCAAAAAATAATGAGGGGGTTTTCAATAGAGCTTTGAGAAAGTCAGTAGTACTTTGCCAGTATGGAATTGAATGATAGCTCACATTACAAAAGCACTCTTGGCGAAGTGTACTACACTAGTAAAAAGAATGATTACATAGCTGCTACATCCTTCCCATCATATTTATCTTTTCCTATTCTTGATTAGCACTGAAATATATTTCTTGACTTGCTGCAAACTACCTTAACCAACAATATCTCCATCAAATTTTCTGGACAAAGTATATCTAAGTTTCTCTTTAGAATTCTCTTACCTTTTGCCTTTTGGTAATATAAAGCAATGAATAAAGTAAATTAGAAACTTTCCTGCGTCATGCAATTGCAAATGTAAAAATGCTCAGAACCTTGCATCAAATTGAAGATGATTATAAAGTTGTGCTGAGGAAGCGAGATACACTTTCTGAAATAATCACTGTACATGTCTTTATTCCCTTTCTGGGTGACAGTCTGCCATCAAGTAGATTTGCAAAGACCATTATCTCATCAAGGTTCATCACTTGTAAAAATTAAGTCTGTAAGCATTGTGATTAATGTGAAATGCTCTACAGCTCTATGATGTTGATGAATGAAAAGGTGGATGTATTAGTAATGAAATTATAATTCAAACTTTAATTGCTCTTTTGATAATATTTTAAGTTATAGGTAACATACTCTAAAACAGTATAGTCTGTTGTTTTGGTTCAGTGGTTATGTATACATACCCTTGAGTACATGCCTATTTCGTCTTTTAGTTAATGCAATAAAGAATAAATAATGAGTGCCATAGAAAAATGAAACAACGAAAACATGTCCAGCTTTATTTATATAAATTATACTATCCAGCCATGTTGAGAATATGTTCATTGTACTTCCTACTAATAAAAATTTGAAATTAAAAAATGATGAATGAAATTGTGTCTACATAAATAAATGTGGTGATTATATATTTTAACTGGTTTCAGATAATTGATGATGTTTATGATTTTCTTCAGCTCTCCAAGTTTTCTTTTTCAATTCTTATCACATGAAACATACTCAGCCCCACATGAATGTGGATGGAGATGATATAAAGGTGTTTCCAAAAAGAAAAGCTGCCTCCAACTCAGAAGGTAGGATGTTAGCAGTCTTGCTTACAAGATATCTATGAATTTATAATAAATACTTAACATGCATTTGATTATATCATATATAGACATAAAGTTTATGGTTCCCTAAAATATTTTCTGTTTATAACCATAATATCTATAATTGTATTTGAGATTTTTCATTCTAAAAAAAAAATAACTGAGGAGAATTTTAGCTAACAATCAATAACCTGGCTCCTTCTTTATAGTGGATTTAAATTTGTGATTTTGTGAAAAAAGATACAAAGAATGTTGTGTATATAATAAGTTAATGGATTTGTCTCCATACTTGTAATTAGCTAATAGAATACCAAATAGTAGAGGTGAAAGTTGACAAAGAAATCAACCAGACAAGTCTTCCCAGCTAGAGTCAAGCAGTTAGCTACTATTTTAATTTAACCATTTGTCTGTTCTCTAAGAGCAATGCACTTAGAAAAATCCCTGGTGAGGGTAGAATTTTTGTTGTAGTTTTCTCATATATTCAAATACATACTACCTAGGGAAAACATGATTTAGAAGACTTTATCAAATAAGATGTGGATGACCATAAATACAAAATAATATACAGCAGTCACACATATGGTCTCATATATAGACACTATTACATTAAAAGATGAATTCATTTTATTAATTAAAAATATGGTGCACATTCTGAGAAGAATGTCAGTTTATTTCATTTTAATTGTACTGATATGGAATTTTTTCTCCTCCATCAATATTATACTTTCCATTCTTTCCTGTCGTTTCCTACATAAAATTAAACAACATGTAATCATAAAATAAGGAAAAAATAACAATCTCATTAGCAATGAATCTCTTGTTACTACCATTATATCATATTTTAATTTGCCAAATATACATATAATATTTACAAACAAAGTCCAAGAAAAACATTAAACTGTTGAAGTTTCAATTATGAATTAAGTGGTTAGCAGTTGGGAAAAACATGTTGAAAATATCTATCCCAGTGACAGATGATGCCATTGTCATGGAATTAATGTCTCCAAGAGATCCTGTCTGATTGTACGGCAGCTCAGCTATATTTAATGATAGTACATACGAACTGGTATGTGAAAGAGACAGTGATATCAGCTCTCAGTGTGGCACGATGAGAAGATACAATCTCCTCAAGGTTGGATCTTAAAAATATAGCAGAAAATTTAAAATATTGTCTATTTCTTCTCAATGATACTAGCATGTGATTTCATTTATTGATAAAATTCATTAGCTAGCACATGCATCACTTAAAACATCATAATATAGTATTTTAGTAGAAATATAGGGAGATCGTGGGCACTGACTGACAGATCCATATATATATACATGAATATATATATGTATATATACTGAATATATAGTAAATATATACTGATCATATACTGAATTCTAGAAGAGTACAGTGGCAGTGTCGAGCATGAGCAGAACAAGATTCATTGCTCAAAAGTATGGTTTTATAATAAAAAAAGAAGTTCAACAGCTTTGCTTTGAAGTTACATATGAAATTGAAATAATTTAGATGAAAAAATAGAGCACCTTATAAAGCCCAGTTGAGAGAAAAACTAAAACTAGCAATTCCATTTCCCTAGCTATACTGCTTCTGGGTATGTTCTTAAAAATTATTACAGTGATACAGGTATACTGTGTTTGTAGGTGCACAACTCATAATAGGCTATTTTAAAATGTTTTGTATGCCAGTCAATAAATTAATTACTAAGCAAAATGTGGTATGTAACACAATAATCAATCATAAAGAGGGATTAGAGTCACTTCTAGGAAAATGGATGCACCTCAGGACCGTAACATTAAGTGATATAAATCAGGTACATAAAGGTAAATATCACATGGTTTCTCTTCTATAAGAAACCTAAGGGCTGGCCAGACAGCTCAGCACACTGAGTCTGCTTCAACAGAGTGCAGCGGCTGCAATTCGATCCCCGGTGTGCAGTGCCAGTCCTACCCCTGAGGCACGCTGAGATGGCAATTGAGACTGGGCGTGGTGGCCTGTGCCTGTCATCCCAGCACTTGAGAGGCTGAAAACAGGAGAATCACTATGAGACCAATCTGTGTAGTGAGACCCTGTAGACCATGTACTAAATACATAAAAACTAGAGGGTCACCATGTTCAGAATGAATAAATACAGAAACAACATTCATAAAGATGATCAAAGGGGACTTTGGCACGTTCTTTGAGGGGCCCCTTGCACCCAAAGAATTAAGGTTAAATGCACATTTCCCTTTAGATAGGACAATAATTAGTAGAGATTTTAAAATTCTAAAATCTCTAATAAAACTGTTTTTAATCCTTCCACTTATTTGGGGCAGCCTTCTGTTGTCACCAATGAAAAGTCACTATCACTACCTTCTTGAACCAGTTTTCAGATCCTACTTGAGTTCCTCATCCATCCATAACAGAGCCTGTGATAAAATCATCATCTTTTATGGTCATAATTTCACTAAGCCAACCATGTTCAATCAATGTTCATATCTTTGATGTGTTTCCTAAGCTAGCATGTCAGGAAAAATATTTTATGTAAAGTGAGCTAGGCAAGGCTGTTAATATCTTCTGTGGTGCCTTATAAAGTTAAAAGAACATGAATAATGACATAATTGGGAGTTTCTATCACACAAAATCCGATCCAAGGAATACTGTTAGAGTGATTTGCAGGATTATAGGTTTTAATCATAGTCCTTTGTCTTCTGGTGGTATTATCAATATATGTACTTGTGGCACTACGATATCGGATTATATGCTGAGCCATTGCATTTGAGGACCATCAGGGGACCAAATATATGGCCGCCTCCCAAAGCACTTCATTTCCTCCTTTGGCACCACATAGCTATATGTAATCAATATTAAATAAGAGCCACTGCAGTAAGCATAAGGCCAAACTCAGTGGCATGTCACAACTCACTCAGTTCTAAACTACCTTAATGCCATAAGCCTGTGATAATTCTCTCCCGGTATCTCGCCAATTCATGTGCTAATACACGGAATTAATAACTCAGTGTTTTACCTTCCAAATGAATATATTCAATACTCTGCATCATGGTCCAGCTTTGGATGTAAATCTTTCTGGGACACAAGGGCATCTAGGCAATAAGGTACTGCTGCAGTTCATGGCCTTTTTAGACTCCTGAACATCAGACCACATAAGTCTCAGTATGGTTTGGCAATGTACACATGGATTATTGTGACCCACACTTCAATATCTGATTATGCACACGGGGTCTTTTTTTTTCTGGTGGAACCAGGGATTGAACTCAAGCCCTTGCACTTGCCAGGAAAGTACTTATTCCACTGAGCCATCCCCCTCACCCCACATAGGGTCTTTAAATTGTTGTCTGTTCAATTTATGTTTATGTCAAGACCTGAGATTCTTTTCTGTCTTATGAGAATTTCACTAGCTATACTTATTTGATTAATAGGTAATGTTGCGGTGGCATTTTTATATTACAAGAATATTGGCCCCTTGCTTTCATCAACTGATAATGTCTTATTGGAACCTCAAATTTCTGACAATGCTGAAGAACGAGAAAGAGTCCTCTCTTCAGTGATTTCGGTCTCAATTACCTCAGAGCCACCCACACTGTACGAAGTTGAAAACATAACATTTACCTTAAGTCACACGAAGGTGAGTTGTACTTTTGGTGTTTTATGGTAAAGTTGTAGAACACTCAGAGAAATGGACTTTTTTACTATGGTATATTAATGATGTGTGAGTTGTAGAATGTAGAAGTACAAACTTAAAAAATTGAAGGAGTAAAGTGGTTTCAATATATATTTCTACAAAGTATTTGTAGCAGTGCTTTTTAAAATTTCTAACCAAAATCAAAGAACTTATATATTTGATTCTTTGGAATCATGCTATGTGTTAGTTTAGTTTAGTTTTTTTTTTTTTAAGTATGCCATTATTTCTGAAGTTTCTGTGCCTTTCTGGAATACATTATTTTTAAGAATGTATCCCAGCCAAAGAGATAAATGTGAGTTGTGTAATGAAGGAGGTCTTCAATTAATATTTGTCTCTTTAAATAGCATTTGCTGGAAGTTGGATATTGACTAAAATAAAGTCATAGAGAATCCTACAGTGTCTAGTAAAGACTATTTACTCTTAATTCTAAACTATTATTTAAAATTTAAGTGTAACTAGGCCTGGCAGGCCGGTAATATTAGCACTTGGGAGGCTAAAGCAGGAGAATTCTGAGAACTCAAAGCCAGCCTGGACTACGGAGTGACTTCAAGTCCAGCCTGCACTACATAGCTAAACCCTGTCTCAAAAGGACAAAAAAAAAATAAATACAGCTAAAGCTTATAATAAAACTATAGTTAGAACCAATAAGATATTTACTTATTTTGTCAAAAACAAATGGAGAAAGACCAAATTACTGATTATTAGTCATTATTTGTAGTTAATGAATTCTTGGACTTTGACTGTATTAAGTTACAGTTCATGATCAGGATATGTCGGAAGCTCCCGGGGAGAACTCTGGAGCTGACCAGGTATAGATAGATAGATAGATAGATAGATAGATAGATAGATAGATAGATAGATAGATAGATAGATTTACCATGATGGGGAAGGATTTTCTAAGCAATAACATATCTGCTTACACCAAGTACAAATATATAATTGTTAAACGAAGACATCTAATGAAGAAACTAAATGTATAAAACCTTGTAAGCACTATGTGAAGAAAATAAATGTAAAATATTTTGAAGAATAGAAAGTAAATTTAGATTGGATTATAAAGCTAAATCATTTTCTCATAAATTTGTCTACTTTAGCTTAGATTTTTTTTTTTCAGAACCAGGGATTGAACTCAGGCCCTTGAGCTTGCCAAGCAAGCACTTATTCTACTGAGCCATCTCCCCAGCCCCTAGCTTAGATTTTTTTACATCCAATAATAATTATCTTAAAAATTTTTGACAGTACTATAAATCTCTCCAACACTGAAATACGTGACTGTCTACCAGGTAATCTGTTGTCTCAGAGATGTCCTTGCAAAGCCTCTGCCTGCTCCATCCTGTCTGGCTCCCTCTGGTCTATCACACACTGTCATCCTCAGTGTAACCACCTCTCTCCTGCATCAAAATCAACATTCCTGGGCTGGCCAAATAGGGGACTAAATTGCTTGCTTAGGCAGAGTGCAGCGACTGGGGTTCAATACCCAGCCTGCTGTGCCAGCCCTGCCCCCAGGGCATGCTGAGATGGCCACTGAGATAGGGCATGGTGGCATGCGCCTGTAATCCCAGTATTTGAGAAGCTGAAAACAGGAGAATCACTACGAGTCCGATCTATGTAGTGAGACCCGTACTAAATGTCTATATCTATATCTATATCTATATCTATATCTATATCTATATCTATATCTATATCTTCACATTCCCTTCAGCAGTTGCTTTCTTTCTAAGTTTATTTATATAGGTTGGTAGCATGGTCTCTAATTGCTATTTGAGTATCTAGAGTGACACCTTATAATTTTTCTACCTCAGAGTTTTCTAGACTCTGCACTTGTCTTCTGACTTTTAAGGTTAACCTGCAAAAATCAAGTGTAATTAATGTTTCAATTAGCATTTACAATCTTTCACATATTCTCTTTATCTCTCTCATACTTTTTGAATCTAAAATGCTTAGTATCCCAAAAGCTTTGGACTGCACTTTAATGTGGTTCTTTCTTCATCAATTATAGTAGTCCTTTTGCATCTATATAGTCTGAAAATGCAGAGGTTCCAGCTCTAAGGAATTTTTTAGAATTGTTTCTTTAGTAATTTCTTCTTATATAATATCTCTGTTCTCTTTTCTATTCTTCCCATTATTTATTGGCCCTTGTGTTCAAGCCACAAATTCATAATTTTTTCATTTTCATTTATTTCTTTTTTTCTGCTTATTTTCCTCTTTCACATAATTTTGACTGGCACCGTTTTATTTTTAATTGGTATAATAATACTTCATCTCTCTGAGACACGATCTGTGTTTATTTTAATTTCCTCTTTCTGCTAGCTGCACAGTCTTGTCCCTGCTTTCCTTTGCCTGGTTTGTCTTGGTTGCCTGTGTTTCTTTCCTCTGACAGAGTGCTCATGGGCATCTGGCAGTCCATGACCGTCCACTTATGTGCAGTAATGAGACCCAGGGTGCTTAGGCAGGTTGTGGAAGTGGAGTGCTTTACTAGAGACTTTTCTCTGGGCAGATTCCTGACCATGATATTAGCATAACTGCAAGATCAGTGCCTAAAGCCATTTCTTCTGAGCCAACCGATTTTCCTTTCATACTTAGGGGCAGTAGCCTGGCTGCAAGCATAAAGACAACTAGAAAAATGTAGTAGTAGAGGGTGGTGGAGGCTCAATGTAGGAAGACTGTCAGTTAACATCTTGATTTCTGAATGAACCCCACACTTCAATAGACTATGGTTTCTCCAGTTCTAGAGTCTTCCTGGCTCCTCTGGGACTAGAATTTTCCAATCTCCTTCAGTACAATTTGATAGTGTTTCAGTTTTCTTCCTATAGTTCAATCTAACTTAAATGCTTCTCACTTTCTCTCCAATTTGAACTCAATCACTGCTTTCTCAGACTCACTGCAGTCAAACGCAGATCATCGTTGGCATTCTGAACACTGACACACAAGCATGTTATCTCATTAGAATGTGTGTGCCATTGGAGTGATTATCATGAGTTTGCGTTATCTTTCAAAGGCAAATGTTTTATGTTTCTGAGACCCTTAGCTCCTGGAACAGTGCTTGTCACATTTAACATTTAAGACATATGTTCATTAATAAATATTTGTCTGAAGGCTTGAGATTTTTATTTTGTGTTGCTCCCCTTATGGATGGTGTGTCTTAAATACCGGTTTTGCATGTATTATTAACACAACATCTACTTCTCAGGGTTGTGTTGTGGGTTACAAAATAAATGAGAAAGCACTGAGCTGTGTGAAACTGTTACATAATTGTGAATATCATTTATTTTTGCCAGCTCAAAACTCTTTTTAATGAAGTGCATTGGAGGGCCGCCAGATAGCTCAGTGGATTAAAGCACCTGCTCAGGCAGGCAGAGGGACAGGGGTTCAATCCCTGGCCTGCTGTGATGGCCCCGCTGTTGGGGCACACTGAGATGGAGACTGAGATTGGGCATGGTAGTGTGTTCCTGTAATCCTAGCATTTGGGAGTCTGAAAACAGGACAATCACTATGAGTCCGATCTGTGTAGTGAGGCCCTGTAGACCATGTAGTAAATACATGAAGAAAAAGTGAGTTGAACACAGTGTCATGATTTCTTAATATAAAAATAGGATAAAAAGAACTATATTGTACTGTGCTATACTGTTTACTGAACACTGCCGCCCTGTCTGTGCGATCCACCCTTGTTTGTCTCTGAACTTGTCCTCCTCATACTTTACCTCACTCAGGTGCTCCGTCTTAACTTGTTTTTAGATGCTTCTAGAAGATGCCTGTTCTGTTTCACTGCAGAGCTTTCCATTTGCAGTTTCAACTGTCTGGAACTGTCTGTTTCCAGGTCAGCAAGTTTCATCCTCACAGCACTTCAGTATCTGTTTAGACATAACCTCATGGGAAACCTCCTTGGGCCATCTTCCATTCCACTGTCCTCTGCACCTTCTTATATGTTCTGGTTTTAGTATGTTTTCATCTCCAACTAGTATGTAAGGTCAACAGTGCAAATGTCTTTTTCTTTTTTTGTTCAATGTTGTGATTTTACAATATGGAACAAAGGCAAATATTCAGTAAATAATACATATTTATTACATAAAGATATATATACTTCTGTCATATTCTGTTCCAAAAGACATATACACACAGTCTCAAACAATAGCAAAAATTCTCATTACAATGTAGCATTGTTACAATACAAATTTCAGTTCTACCTCATAGCAACAGTCTTCATCTGTTATAATTTATTTTAATTTTGATCATTGTTTTAATCATATGTATGGTATTTTATATATGATAAAAGGAATACAGTGTGGAATGTGTAACTTGTTCTCTTTTTTTCCCCATCAGTAAAGTGTTTCTTTTTCAGATCACAGATGAGCATAAGGCTCAGTGTGCATTTTGGAGCTACTCCTCTGACACCATGAATGGCACCTGGTCTCCAGAGGGCTGTGAGGTGACAGACTCCAATGCGACCCACACCTCCTGCCGTTGTAACCACCTGACACACTTTGCAATCCTGATGTCTTCTGGCTCTTCAATTGTAAGACCCTTCCCTAGTTCATATGTATAAATCAACCTATGCTCATTTTTCTTTCTTCTGTTATTAAAAAGAATAATGAATTTTCATATTTTTATTGGGCGTGAAGCACATATTTAGTATAACTTCAGTCCTATATCCCTTTATTCTTTTGTCCCTGCCTTTAAGGACATATCTAGTATGGATTTTAGGTCATGTCTAATCTATGATTTATCTAGTCAGTACTGTGTAGTAAATGATAGGTTAAGTGAAATCTTTATTCATTGACTCTTATTTTTTGATGCTGCTTTCAAAAGCATTACAAGTTTTATGTAAGGATAATTACCTTTTTATGGAAAATGAGAGTTCATTTTTATGAGTGACAAAGTGTCCCAAACTATTTGATATCTGATCAATAAATTTTAGCATATTTATAGCTAATATATTTTTAACAACAGAGACATCTACAAAATTTTCAAAAATGGAATGTCTCTCTAGGATGCATAACTTCATAGTTTCTATTTTACTTCAGTAATGCTTATGTTATATAAATGTACAATCTTATATGTGTCAAAATACTTATCAGATTATAGCTTTACTTCTGTGATTACTTAGAGTCCATTATTAAGATTATATGTCCCAATAAATTTGCATGAAATAAAATAAAGATTTTTCTTTCAGAATAGAGTCTAATAGCCTCTATTCTGTATATGAACATAAATATTCTTCTAGTTAGAAAAATACCAGTATTTTCCAGTTCAAAGCCTATGAAATATACCATTTTGGCATTTTACACAGTCAAGTTTTCTCATACCTTTGCTTAATGTACTTTAGATGAATCACTGCATAGAAATAAGACTTGGACGTGCCACTGATAAATTTGCTTTAACTTTTTCCCATTACAAGAATGAATTGTCTTTCCAGTATCATGAAGCTAATGACGATAAGATTGTTAAACCATATACTAATAAATACTAGGTGGAAGGGGTAAAACTCCCAATTACTGGACTGGTAAAGTCCTACATGATTTATACAGACTTCTCTGGATATTTAGGATTTTCAAAATTAGAAAAAGTTTCTCATCTAAGTGCACCTTTGTATTCTTTACATTTTATGAACATTTTGATTAATGTCCCACCAAAAAAAGAACTTCATTACATGTTGTAGCCCCTTCGAAAAGTGACTGATTTATTCTCTTAATAGCTTTATTATTATTTTCCCTTAGGGTGTTAAAGATTATAATATTCTTACAAGGATCACCCAACTAGGAATAATTATTTCGCTGATTTGTCTTGCGATATGTATTTTTACTTTCTGGTTCTTCAGTGAAATTCAAAGCACCCGGACAACAATTCACAAAAATCTCTGCTGTAGCCTGTTCCTTGCTGAGCTTGTTTTTCTTATTGGGATTAATATAAATACTAATAAGGTATGTAGACACGCCTTCTCTCTATTTTTATTTTTGCTCTTTCCTAAATATATATCTTAGGAACATAAATTATAATGAAAAGTTTAAAGGGACTGATATGCAGTATAGTTTTTAAGTTATCTTTTCAAAGTTTTATAACACTAACAAGTGTAATCAACCCACTTCTGAGTCTATTAACCCAAAATCTTCCTCATTATTGGAATAAGTTAAAACTTTGGAAACCCTGGAGAAATGCTTATTTTTAAGTAGGCATTAAATAAAGATCCCAGGGACCTGGAAATGAAGCTGACCTTATGATACAGGTTAGACACAAAGCTGCTAGGACTCATAAGATGAAATATGACAAATCATCTCTACCTATTTTTGGCACTCTCCTAAATACTCCATTTTCCATGATTTTTTTTTTCTTTTCAAAGTTTTATTGATAAACATATAGCAATGAGACAGTTTCAAATCAAATCGAAAGTACAGTTTCAACAAATAATACACTGCATATATTCTTCTTAGTGGTTAATTGCTGTACAAGATGCAGACTTGTGATCCTACTTACAAACACCATTAGAACAAATCATTCTATTCATTAAGAGAATGCAACTATATATCTATCCCAACCACTTTGAATACACAGATACAAAATGGACATTCATAGTTATACCCCAATTTTTTTTTTAAGTTCCGTTGTTGAATATTAAGACCTTATCACATGGTGTCATGTTGTGGTAATCTATGTCCTGGAAACAGATGCTAGGATGGGATTAAGTTTGGGATAAGTCTATCAGAAGCACCTGTAAGAGGAAAGGGACAAGCAGGCTGGGCAAGCCGGCAGACCGTGATGCAAGGCTGAGATCAAGTGAACCAGGGAAGAGGAATGGCCCTCTCACCGCACTGCAGCTCCAAGCCGAGTTCAGCACAGCAGCCAAGGAGTCCTCTGGCAACTCCTTGAGCCAAAGTCTCCTGGCAGAGGAGTCCTCTGTCTCTCAGGAGCAGGGATTGCTTCTAAGTCTGCTGCACTCTGTGGCTGGCTGGCCACAGCCTGTGAGGCTTTCGCAGAGCAGCAGCCCTTGCAGGCTGTTCAGTGCCGCCCACCTCAGCATGCAGGTCGCAGGTCACTCCCCACCTCAGAACCTGAACCTGCCCTGGCACTTCCATTCTTTTTAGAAATCCTTAAAGACTGGAAGTAACACTCAAGTTTTCCTCTGAATTCCACAACACAAAGCATCTATTATAAAAATGTAGCATACACAGACCTATCAACTTCACATCTGTTTTTGTGTTTTCCACTAAGATTCATAATTCCTTGCACAATTCTCAATTCATAACATCTCCCGCAATTGTCCTGGGCTTATTTTCTCTTTCAATGCCTCCCATCATCTTCACTTTAAAACTATTCCTGTAGTGTTTGTTCATTTTCAATTCTCACTTACTAAACCATTCTGATTTTCAAGACATCTTTCAACTCTAACTTGATCTACTCAAAGTGGTTCCACACACTTTGCCCACTTTACCTTTCTGCTCCCCAGCCATATCAAGTACTCACCAACAAATTTAATACATAGTCTCATTCTTGAACTATATTGTTTTAGTGAGATGTGTTTAGTGTCCTGTATTTTCTCAGCAGTTCTGATTTGTTCTGGGAATAAAGGGATATAAACTACTTCTTTTCTGTTATTTTCTATAAACCTGACTCTAGTTTTAGATGCTAAGTAATAATGTTTAACTGAAGTTATCTCAAATTTACTTAATAAACTTATAACCTAAAGCAACCCTATACCAGTATCTTGGTAAAATATATCACTTAGCTATTCTGTAAATTCAATTTTGTCATTTAATCAAGATATTCAGGGTCTGAGGAGATAGCCCAGTGGTCTAAGCACCTGCCTGGCAAGTGCAAAAGACCTGGGTTCTATTGCTGGTACCACATGCCAGGCCACCAAAACAGGTATGTGTTGGTGCACACCTGTAATCCCAGTACTGGGTAGGCTGAGACAGGAGGATCACTAGAAGTCTGAGCTGTGTAGCGAGACTTTGTGCCAAATAAATACATAAATAAATCCATAAATTTTTTAAAAGATATTATTTTGTTTGCCATCATTTGCCATTCATTTTCCTTCTTTAGTAGGAATAAAGGAGAAGAGAAATAGCCCCACACTGTAGTAAACTGAAATCAAAACACATGCACAAGATGCTGTAGCTGGTATGTGAATAGTCCAGCTTATCACCTCATGACACATCTTTGGACAAGAACAGGAACATGATTATAGCACAGGAGTGGATAATGCTTACAAGCCACAGACTTTTAAAATCAGTTAGGAGTACTAGTATGTTTTAAAAAACCGACACAGATATTCTAGGGTGATCAGCCATGCAACAAGTGGCATAATTCATGGAAAAAAAATGTTGACCCTTTTGTTATGGACGGATTTAAAGCAAACAGCACTGACGATTTCTTTCTTCACTTTTTAGCTCTTCTGTTCCATTATCGCTGGACTACTACATTATTTCTTCTTAGCTGCCTTTGCCTGGATGTGCATTGAAGGGATACACCTGTATCTCATTGTCGTTGGAGTCATCTACAACAAGGGATTTTTGCACAAGAATTTCTATGTCTTTGGCTATCTCAGCCCAGCTGTGGTAGTTGGATTCTCAGCATCGCTAGGGTACAGATACTACGGCACCACTAAAGTGTAAGCTAAGATCATTCCTTGCACCAGAAAGCACAGTTCTATATACAGTCTGCATATCCTTGAGAATATTATTGTGTTAATGTAAATGCAAACATGTATGAATTTTATCTGTTCTATTTACTTTTCAGATGTTGGCTTAGCACAGAAAACAACTTCATTTGGAGTTTTATAGGACCAGCATGTCTAATCATTCTTGTAAGTATATATGAAATTTTTGTTAATATTCAAAAGCACCATGAGAAAAGGGTGCTTAAAATTCTCAGCAGTCAGATATTATATTTTTCAAATAAGATTTGAAATGCTTTTCAGTGTATCATGTGTTGTTAGTGTTTTACATTAATTACATTGTGATTAAGAAAAAATATATAGATAGCTTGTAAGTTCAATGCAGTTTGATTCATTTGTACCCTGTTAAAGAAGGATACATTTTTGGCTAACATAAGAAAAAGCAGCAGGCATGTCACAGCATACTTCAATATTGAAAGTGTGCCGACCAGCTGATAATCTGGTATTTCAGATGTTTATGTTATTTAATCTTTTATCGATGATCGGTCATCTTTGGAGATTAGACTGTCATCTTTATAGTTTTATCCTCTTTATGTACCCTGTCATCATAAGGTGATTTTAAACTAAATTGCAACGTCAGAGACAAGAACCCCTTATTTCTTGTGGGCAGACAAGTCATACACATATTGATAGTCCTATTTCAGCAAGGAAGAGAGCCTTTTAATTCTTATTGAAAGTGGTTTCAAACCTACAAATTTGGCAGGTATTATGTGGTCCTTTCTAAATAAAGGCATTTTTATATGTCTCAAGAGTATCTCTAAGTGCTGAAAGTTTTCAGCAGCCATTCTGAATATAATAGTCCATCACTGAATCTAGGAGGTCTGACAAGTTTCTAGAATGGAATGAATTGTGAATAGAAGAATTGTGACAATATTGTGGACAACTTTCTTCCATATATTTTGAACATAAACTACCCGTCTTTGCTGAATTTGTCTGTTCTGTTTTACTGTATTCTCTTGAGTCTTTTATGGTTGAGAGGAAGCTGCTAAGTGGAGAAAGATTTGAAATGCAAAGCAGAGAATTTTCATCAGGCTTTATTTTTTAATAGTGTGGGTAAAATCAAGTACATTCAAAAATTATACTTCATCATCATGGAAAATTGTTTCTAATTCTTGTAATTAACCTAGCAATACTTTCTAAAGCCACTGGCTAGATTTCAGCTAAAACAATTTGAGCTCATTTATTACAACTCCAGTATTTTTAATCTACATAAGAATACAGAATCAATGGTGTCTCATTTACGCAGCTCTGCTGGTGGCTCTGATCAGAGTCCATGAAGGGAAGATTTTCTAAGTATTCTCATTTTACTGATTCCCACGCTAAAGAAGGAATCATCTCTGAGACTGTTTTTTGCAAGTAAAAGTTCTGTGAAACAATGATCCTTTAGATAAAAAGCATCAAACTAGAGATTGTGATAAAGTAGAAAAAATGGGAGCCTATTTCCCGAAAGTGAGAAAGGGAGAGTGTTTCACAAAATCATCTTTAGCACAGACTTCTAGAAGGGAGACTTAACTTTGGATTATTGCATGGTAAGGTACATAGTCTGTAAATGGATTTAGCTAAAATAAAAGTCCTACAGATTTTCTAAATGAACACCATTATACTGCTTTAGTCGAATTAATTAATCAATTTACCCTCTGTACAGTTTCAGTGTGATAATCATGCCCAGGTTAAACAGAATGAGTTACTAGAGAAGTAGATTAGACATCTCAGTTTTACTCTAAAACTAAATACCACTTTTATTTGTAGTAACTTTTAAAATAGCAGAGGGACAGCAATTGAGGCTGGGCGTGGTGGTGTGCGCCTGTAATCCCAACTCTTGGGGAACTGTAAACAGGCAGATCACTAGGAGTCTAATCTAGTAGTGAGACCCTTAACATCATGTAGACCCTTCCCTAAAATACAAATAAAATAGCAGAGACTCTTAATTATTGAACCCAAGTGAGTTAACTCTACTAATTCTATACTAAGGTTGGCATATTATTGTTATTGTTATTGTTGTTGTTGTTGGTACAAAACCTAATAATGTGATGTTAAGAGAAAATTTTCCTTTTGCTCAAAGTAGTTTCCAGTTCCAACATGAGGTCAAAGAGCAGAGCACCGAATAATCTTGACCTGACACTTGCGCCTGGTCTTAAGAGAGAGTAGGACAAAATTTGGCCCAGTAAGATGACTGGTGAGGTCTGGAGGAATGGTGGTCCACGTTATGCATGTGTGGCCTCTGGAAGGGTGCAGTGTTTTCTGTAGGAATCTTTCCTTGTCTGTGGCAATGTGAAAGAAAGCTAGACCTGCTTCTTCGTCTCCTGAAGATGAGGTGAATCAGTAGGCCAAAGGGTCAGTAAATGGGAAAATCAGACATAGTAAGAGGAAAGCCATCATCGTGACTTCAGAATTTTCATATCTCCTGGATGCATAGAAGCGAAGATTATGAGTACATTTTTTATGAGAGTTTGACTTATGTCTCGATTTGAGGCCAACTGTGAACATAGACACTAACACCTGCTTTTGTGTAGAATTTCCTGTAGGCTGTAAGCTTACTAGAGTTTCCCTCAATAGCAAGGAGGGAAAGAATTACTATACCATGTATCTAGGAATCAAATAATAGGGAACGCACAAAAACTTAGTTGTTTTATGAGCACAGATTCCCAGGTCAAATGAAGTCATATACAGCCAGAAGAAGGGGTTAAATGGAGAAATGCCTACCTCTCTGAAGAATAAGAGGTCAAGACAAAAATGAAATAGTAGAAATGCCAAGAACCCAATATAGGCCATCTAAGTGGAGGACATTGGATAAGCCACAAATATCAGCAGTGTGAAGGACCAGAATAAACTGCAGCGATGTGGTAGAGCTGCTCCGTCTGTTAGCAGATGATCAGACCCTTCTAACCCACAGGAGCAGAGGCGTAGAGTCCACGATACAGAGAGACTGGGCCCCAGAACCAACCACGCTGGCTCCAATACATCTACACGGACACAAACTCTGTTCCACCAAAGTTCTATAAGGAAAATTGAAGTGAGGACCATATACAGTTTTCACAATATAAAATTACTAGAAGCTGTGCTGAGTAGATTTATGTCAGTGCCCACAGGGGAGAAAAATAATTTTCTGTTAAAAAATATTTCATAAGTAAAACTCCTTTCTAAATAATATTGATATTCAAAATTGATTGCCACGTGCCATTTTGGGGATAACAATTACCTGCTGATTGGAAAATCATCATGGTGTGCTTGGGAACATTCTAGTAAAGGGTGCTAAGCCATGCAATTAGGTTCAACATGTTCATTGGATTCTCTGAAAATGATGACAGTAAAAAGCAAATATAAGAATTATAGCTGCATATGATGCTATCAAGAAGAAAACAAGACATAAATGGCAAAGAATTATAAAGGATTAAATGTAAGTGACGTTGACAAGATAGAGGTCAGTACGGCGTCCACGCTTACACAGCCAGTCTGAATTAAGATGGATGCCCACAAGAAGCAGTTTGCGTTATATGCTAGCAAATAGGCAGAGAATTGAGAGAGTTAACTTCAATTTCTGTCAAGCAGTTCCTAGAAACTCATGAGTGAGAGAAAGGGGCACAGCAAAAAATGGGACTGAAAAGCAGTCACTAGCAGAAATAAACTAAAGTATCATTTTTCTCTATTAATAATGGTTTCCAAGAATTACCTTTATGTAACTTTATCACTCTTGAATGTAGATGGTTAATAATAATTTGTCAAGTTTTTACCTATTTAAAAATTTCCTTGCCTGGAAAGCACAGGGTCCTGAGTTCAATCCCCAGTACTGCAAAAATAAATAAATAAATAAATAAATAAATAAATAAATAATAAATATAAAAATTTACTTATTTCTTTTCCATTTTTATAATCTAGCATTCACTGTTGATCAATAATTTTCTGTATTAATAATGAGATTTTTCTTAATTTGTGATCTATTAAGTGTCTACTACTTTTGAAACTTATGGCTAAGACTTTAATGCTGAATTTCCTTAAATCGGTCCTAAAATGGATTGATTCAAGATGTTATGTAATTGACCTAAAGTTGTAAGTTTACACATACCTATTGGACCTGACAGGAAACTATTCTTGTAATCTAAAACTCAACTTTTGTTTTGTTAAATTGCTTCTTTTGCAATTACCTTTAACCTACTTTTCTGCTATTCTTCTCTTATTTCCTGGCAATCTACCCAGAATAAACTGCCCTCAAGTAGATTCAGATAATAGAAACTATTTTTGTATTATAATTTTATTTTATTTTGAAGAGTAAAAACAAAGGCAATAAAGATCAGAAACAAAGACAGAAACAGAGTAACATACAACAATACATATGTTATAGATTTTCAAAGCGAGAATAACTGATTAACAATGGTTGATATAGTATCTACTTTTATCATCAAATCTGTTGCTCAGATTAACAGATATAGTTATGAAAGATAGGACATATGATTGAATGTTATGGTTTGCTTTCAAGAAATCTTAAATTTTTGTTCTTGTTTCTCTTTTTTTCTTTTATTACCTTTTTAAAAATTTTATTTTGAAAAGAGGAGCTATTAATAAGAACAAAAAATAAATTATAAGTCCTAATAGTATATTTGGGGCTGGTATATAAATATGTTCTATTCATTAACACACTTAATTTAATCCTTCAATCCTTAATGAAGTGTATGTATGGAGGTTGCATGTGTACGTGTGATATACTTTGAAATAGGATGAATTGGGTATAGAGTACATGTTCAGTTGCTCAAAAGATAGAAAGTGCCCTTGCCAGACTCGAAGTCTAATTTGAGTTTGTTGCCTGCTCTCCAAATTCTAGGGCTGGTGGTTCTCATTTGGCTGTAATCCAAATGGCACAGGCTACGGAATAAAGTTTGCAATGACCTAGCTAACGCCTGCCTGTCGTCTTCCTGTGTCTTACTGTGCATCTTCATAGCATGAGCCCGCCCAGAGCTTCACCCTTGGGGGGCACACTTACTGTCCCTTGGCTGCTTCCTTAGCCCACTGCTCTCAGTGATCCAGGCGCCTTCTGCAAAGCTTGACTGCCAGAAGTCTTACTTCTTTGAGCACAAAGAGACAGGAAGACCCTCCCAAGGCTGTAACTAGTCTCTTTCTCCAACACACCCCCAAGG